AATCGTCAAAGCACAAGGAAGAGTGAGTGATACCACAAGGTTGGTTCAGTCAGTGAAAACAAAACTTGCTCATATTTCTTATAATGCTCGCAATTTAATGACATGGTATTGTGGCATTGATTTATTATACTAGTTTTGACTTCTGATAGAATTAGAAAACTATTTTTCTTTATGTTTTCAGTATTAGTTTTTGAAACAAAACTGGAACATATTAATACCATGTTCTATCATGCCTTGTTTGTTGCAAGCTTTGTTTGTTACTTCCATTTTCTTCCTTTTGCATTGGTTGCAACTTTTAGTGATAGACAAACTTTCAGTTAGAAAATGTAACACTTTATGAAACAGAGTTTATGAATTTATATAACAGTAAAGATCAAGACATTTAAATGAAGCCAACCACCATATAAGTTGGTATCTTTTCTTATGACATTCTACATGTAAATTATTTCTAAGTTGAACATTGTACTTTGATATATAGTATATACTCACTGGCTAGCCTGTTGAAAATGGCATATTACAAATTAACTTGTAATATATTATACGTGTTAGATTATTTTTTATTTTATGAAATATTTTCGAACGTTAAAAGAAAATTACTATTTTTTTTCTTTGTCATGACATCATGTTTCAGGTTTTTATCACTAGTTCATGCTTTAAATTCATGTTATTTGCGAGGCATCGTGCATTTCAAACCTGTTTACAATAAAATGTCATTTCAACAAATAAAACATGTCTTCAAAAATCAACATTTCATGTTTAGATGAGTTAAAACGTGTTTACATAAGATATCATTTCATCACACAGGCTTCAACCTCTAGGATAAATAAATACAATGCTAATTTTACACAATATGTTTAACGCAGACATTAACGTCTAAGGCGAATACCATGCTAATTTTATATAGTGCGTCTAATAAACTAAAAACCCACCAAAATCAAAACCTGAACATATAACTACTCTAAACCAAAACTAAGAAGCAAAAAATTGAAGAAAGACAAGAAAATCTAACGCCGTACATGTTTTTAATGTGAAAAAGTCCACCCTATTCGAAACTCATCCCTTAATAACCTTATATGAAACGCTCATAAATTCGTAGTTATTTTTTCTGATACTTTAACTCACAGATTTTATTTTATTTTATTTATTATTATTTTTTTGTGAGCATAACATGTTTTCCACACAAGTGACGTTAGCTAGCGAAAAAATAATTTGTTTAGCACATATAAAACCGTGAAGCCCATTTAAGATTTGTAATGTAAACCAAACTAAGTGTAATTATTATTATTGTTTGACTAAGAAAGGACAAATAAATAGTTAATTAATACATCTTAGTTATCATCGACTAATCGTACAACGAATAAAAGAGCAAACGGGTAGCAAATTGCGTCGCCAAGCCTTTTTGTATGGTAAACCAATTATTTTGAATACTACATTCATAGATCTAGGATATGGTCCAATCTCCATCTTTGTTTTTTAGCTTTAAAACTTACTTAAAATGTTGATGAAAATGTTTTAAAAGATATCTGAGCATAGAACCTAAAAGCCAAACACTAAAAAGCATCTTTAACGACATAATATATGTAGAGTACAAAATAGAGTTTAGACTTATCCCACTATAAATTTTATTTTATTGTAACGTCCGGTCTCAGGTACGCATTTAAATTTAAGGCAAACTTCATATTTTACTTTTGGACTCGACGAGTTGGCGGCTCAACTCGTCAAGTAGGATCGACTCCAAGTCGGGGGATTAAGTGACCTACTCGACGAGTCGGAAGGCCAACTCGACAAGTAGGAACTATCTGAGTGAAACCGTAAATTGGAGGGTTTGCACACTATTTAAACAACTTATAAGGCTTCCACCCCAGCCTCCATCACCCCAAGCCCTGTCCTCGAAACCCTAAGCAGTTGTGAGCATCTTTGAGCTATTTAGTGCCATTTTGAGTAATCTTGTATAATTTGGAGCTTGTGTGAAGAAGAGAAAGAAGGAAGGCTTCAAGAGAAGGTTGCAGATCCAGGAACAACATCATCTTCTCTTCTATCGGAAAGTCACCGGAGCAGTAGATAGAGATTTCTCACCCAGAGTTTCAGCGGTCAGACATACGAGGTGAGTTTCCCTCCAGTAGGAACGAGTCTAAGGCACCAAGGTCGGCCCGTTTATGTAGTTATAGTATATCGGGGTAAGCCTGATGTCGGGGTTAGCTCGATGCAGTATATATGTTCAGTTTATTCTGGACTTTGGTCCGATGTCGGGGTCAGCCTGATGCAGTTTATATGTGTAGTTTATGTGTTTAGTTTATTCCGGACTTCGGTCCAATGTCGGGGTGATCCTAAGAAGTAGTTTAGTATGCTTGATGTCTTTGTGATTCATGCATGTGTATGTTATGTGTTATGTGTTTCGGACTCCGGTTCGATATAAGGCAAGCTCGATGCAGTTTATGTTAATATGTTATATGTTTGAGTTTATGTTATGATTTAGTTTATTCTGAACTTCGGTTCGATGTCGGGCGGGGCCCAATGAAGTGGGTAGGGCCCAAGTTATTCCGGACCAAGTCCGATGTCGAGCGGGACCCGATGTAGTGGGTCAGGCCCAGTAGTTGTTATATGTGATTTATATGGTATGTGGCTCACTAAGCTTCGTGCTTACAGTTTCAGTTTTTGTTTTAGGTACTTCAGCTAGCAAATGGAATGGCTCGATCTGATGACATGGCACACACCACAGTTGATTAGCCTGGGAGCTTATTCTGATATTTTATGGTACAGTTATTTGTTGACAGATTTTATGAGATTCTAGATACATGTTTGATGATTTTATTTTATGAGGATGAGATTATGTTGTCAAATGATTTTAAAAACAAAATTTTTGGCTTGTATTTTGGGGTGTTTCGTTTACACATTAAAAATAGAATGTGTTGGAGATGATATAATTTATAGTTCAAATTTAGAGTGTCACTATTAATTTTAAAAGATAAAATAAAGCTTGTTGGAACATTAGTATATTCTAAACTGTATTAATAATAATAAAAATAAGTGGGATTGCCTATGCGGCTATGCTCTTAATATACAAAAATGTTTTCAAAGATATTTGAACTTAGAACCTGAACCAAACACATTAAACTTAGGTTGTGTTTGGCGCGCCACAACTAGCTGATAAACTAGCTTATTTTTTTTCGAGCCTTTTTATGTTGTCGTATTTGGTAAGTCAAAAAGTAGCTTATAAGTTAGCGTTTTAAAAAGCTACTTAGACTAGCTTTTTTTAAAAATTTCAAATACATCCCTTAATTAATTATAAAAACGCATACTCTCACATGTTTTTTTATGTAATTTTATATATTTCAACTAGCTTTTCAGTTAGTTTTACCAAACGTCATTTTTTATCAGCTAACTTTTTAGCTATCAGCTAGCTTTTTATTTAACAACTAGTTATTCAGCTATCAACCAGCTTTTCAGCTAACAGTTAAGTTTTAAGCTAGTACGCCAAACATTGTCTTAACTTTATGTATATGTGTAAGGTATTCATTTACAAATGATTGAAATTACATTTTTCACAACAAAATAAAAATATGAATAACCCACTCGTGAATTTTTCACGAACTACACTAAAAAAGTGCAAAGAATATTTTAATCGATTTGACAAGAAAATATTAAACTTTATTTTTTTGATAGAAAAGTCTAAATTATCGGCAGTTTTTGACACTTTTACCATTTTTTCCTGATTAGCCGGTAATTAGGACTTTTTGTCAAAAAAAATAAAGTTTAGGACTTTATTGTCAAATCGTTGAAAATATTAGGACTTTAGTGTGTGTGTGTGTGTGTGTGTGTGTGTGTGTGTGTGTGTGTGTGTGTGTGTGTGTGTGTGTGTGTGTGTGTGTGTGTATATATATATATATATATATATATATATGAAATTTAATGGTATGATACTGTTTAAGCATAAAAGTTATTGAAACATTCACTAATCTGCTAGATCCTATTAAAATTCTTAACGTTTGCTTCTTGTTAAATTGTTTTTTTAATCTCAACAAACCGACATTGAAAAAATTGAGATAATCAATAAAAAAAGATAGAAAGAATCAGAGTTGTGTTGGTTTTTTGCATCCTTAAAAATGGAGAATTAAGAAACTGAAAAAAAAGTAATTGCCCTTCTTTCCCTTCTCCACATTCACATCCTTTTGACTAGGCATATGTTGTTTGTATTTGTATATAGCCAGGACAATTCCGTTTTTTAGGTTTTTAATTTCTCCATTTTTTAGACTGAAAAAAACCAACACAACCCTGTTTTTTTTTTTATTATTATTATTATTATCTTAATTTTTTTCAATGTCGGTTTGTTCAGATTAAAAAAACGATTTAACAAGAAGTAAACGTAAAATATTTCAATAGGATCTCACTGATTAGAGAATGTTTAAATAACTCTTATGCTTAAAGAGTATCATACCATTAAATTTCTAACAAATATATATATATACTAAAGTCCTAATATTTTCAACAATTTGACAAAAAAGTCTTATTTTTTTTTCTTCAGTAAAGTCCTAATTGATTATTTAACAAGAAAGTCCTAAACTTTATTTTGTTGACAAAAAAAAGTCTTAATAACCGGCTAACCGAGAAAAAAATGTAAAAATATCAAAAACTATCGGTAATTTGGATTTTATTATAAAAAAAATAAAGTTTATGATTTTTTTATCAAATCGATGAAAATATTAAGATTTTACTGTATATATCCATATTTTTTTAGTAAAAAAGGTGTTTGTTTTGTGATATTTTCTATAAAAAATGATTATGAGATGAGTTTGTTAAAGCATCCCAATAAACATGATGAGATGTTATGTGATAAATATTTTTTTTTCTAAACTGTGTTTCACTAACTTTGTAAAGTTACATGTATTATATTTGACAAAATGATAAATTTATATTTTCAATAGCGTACATTTTATTTACACATTTATGGAGGGGCAGATAAACTACCTAGAAGAAAGAGTTCGACTGTTCAAGGGTAAAAGATGGCGGGAACTCTTGGCGCCATACCACGAACCCTCTCTTTGGCGGGCTATTTCATTCCTAGTAAACCCTACCCATATCGCCATTATCGTCCTCCTACATCTCGTTTTTCTCTAGTCAACTTCTCATCCAAACCATTCTTTCTTTGGCCAGTTTCAGCCATGTCCCACAACGGCGGCCCTGAAATCGAAGGACCCATCCCAAAGGTTCAAAAAATCGACGATCGAAATGGAAACTCAGACCACCAACAGCCTCTTTTCAGAGTGAAAAAGCTATCGGAGAAAGCAATTTTGCCTGCAAGAGGTTCGTCTCTTGCCGCTGGTTACGATTTTTCAAGGTATGTAAATCCTTTCTCCCCTATTCCATATAGAAATCCGCAATCAAACCCTAGTTTCGAAATCGACGAAATTCGGATTCGATTGACGATCATACGATTGTATTTAAGATTTTGATTTGCTATTGATTCAGTGCAATTGATACCAAAGTGCCAGCAAGGGGTAAAGCACTGGTTCCCACAGATTTATCCATAGCTGTACCAGAAGGGACATATGCTCGAATTGGTATATATTTTGGTCCTCCTTTGGTTGATTTTCGTAGAGTACTAGGGTTGTGTTACTTACAAACTACAATTTAACTGATTTGCAGCTCCGAGATCTGGTCTCACATGGAAGCATTCAATTGATGTTGGGGCTGGTGTGATTGATGCCGACTACAGGGGCCCAGTTGGGGTTATCTTGTTCAACCATTCTGATAGTGATTTTGAAGTGAAAACTGGTGATAGAATTGCACAGTTGATTATTGAGAAGATAATCACACCTGAAGTCGTTGAGGTTGATGATCTTGATTCAACTGTAAGAGGTGCAGGTGGGTTTGGATCTACTGGCGTTTAACGATTTGTACAAGTAATTGTGCTATTGAGAACTATTATTCAATTTAGCTCTTAGATTTAGGAACTTTACATGATTGTTTGATATAAACTGTTCGTGGTTTTTTGTGGAACATTTCGTCGAGCAGATGGTGGGTGTGTGAAAATGGTCATGTGGTTTTTTTTTCTTTTAAGATAGTGCATAAACCCTTTTAGCTATGATTTTTTTGATTTGATAAATCATCCAATTAAAAAAAATAACATTTATCAAATTGAAAGATACTGTTATAAAGTTAAAAAAAAATTAACATTTGTCAAATTAAATGATTAAATAATAGTGTTATAAGTAGTAAAAAAAATTATTTTATTAAAGAAGATTTTTAGATATTTATGGTTTTTTAATGTTTTTATTTATTTTAATTCAGTTAAATAAATTTAAAATTGATAAACTGTATTTAAATCGTTTTTTATATTTTTTTGTTTTTGAATTGAAAGTGTTAATGTTTTTTTTTTTAAGTTTTATGTCATTAGGGTTTTTATAACATCGTAAGCAACTTTATATTTGTATTTATTATTATTATTATTATTTTGTTTTAGGAATGAAAGTGGGTCTAAACCCGGACTGGATGGATTTGGATTTGAAAAATCCGAAACCGGTTATGGAATTTTGTAGAACCGGAAACCGGATTGGTATATAGGAACCGGTTCCGGTTAGGTTTTTGGTATGGTTCCTAGTAAAGTAGGCTTAGAACCGGAAAATCCGGAACATCAAAATGGGTAGGTTGGAATCGGATAAAGTGGGTTTAGAACCGAAAAATCCGAAAAAATCGATTTTTTTTTGTAATTACTTACTACTTAATGGGTTGAACTTTGAAAATTTTCATATTGATATCTCGATTTTTTGGGGGATTGTAACTTATTGAATATGAAACCAAAATTATAGTATAAAATAATGTATAAACTCTAAAATAAACTATGAAAATAACCGTATGTCAATCCGATTTTAAACGAATGTCATGTGCATATGTTAACATTTTCATATAATACAAACTACAAAAACAAATAGATGAAGAGTTGAAAATTTTCAGTTTTGATATCCCGACTTCGAAGAACTGTAAATCATTGAATAATATTAAATCAAAAATGACAATTATATTATAAAATCATTTACAAACTGTAAACTAAAAGGTGGAAAAAACCATATGTTAATCTGACTTCAAAAAAATTAGATATGCATGTTTTAAACTTTAACCGAATACAAAAAAATTGAAAAACTAAAAACTTACAGCTTTGATATATCGACTTTAGGGGAATGTAAGTCAATGAATATAAAATTGAAAATGACAAATTTATAGTCTAAAATCATGTACAAAAATTCTAAAATACACGTTGGAAAAAACCGTATGTCAATCGGAGTTGAAACGAATGAGATATGCATCTTTTAAACGTTTCACAAAAAAACGGTTCCGGTTCCAAAAACCGGTTTCGGTTTTTAGACCCGGTTTACCAGACCCAATGGACCCAAACCCAGATTACCGGAACCCAGATAAAGCCAATTTTTAAACCCGGAACCGGAACCAATTCTATATATTCCGGTACTAACGGTTCCGGTTCCTGTCCGGTTTTTCGGTTCTAAATATCATCCCTATTTTGTTTTTTGTTTTCTATTTTATTTATTATTTTTCTACTGTTTTTATTTATTTTGATAAGTAACGAAACATAGAAAAACAAAAAACAAAAACTTAAATATTGAAATTGTAATATACTCTATTATATTAATATATTTTATACTTTTCTTTTCTTTATTTTTTTTCGTTTTTTTGTATTTTTTAAAAATTCTTTTTGGTGTTTGAGTTTTTGTTTATTTTGGTTATTTATGATTTTTAACTTTTTTATTTTTATTTTGATTGAAGTAAATAAAAAAGTTATATTTATATTTGAAATTTTGGCTTACTTTTTTTTCTTTATGTTTTTTTCTTCTTTGGTGGTGTTATATATATATATATATATATATATATATATATATATATATTATATATATATATATATATATATATAAAGTTTAAATTGAAGATAATATTTTTTAATTTGATAATAGATTGAAATAAAGAATAAAAAAAATAATAAGAGGCCGACTATACAAAAAAAGTTGCTAATATTTTAAATTGAAGTTTTTTCTTTCATTGAATCAAAATAAATAAAAATATTAGAAAAATTATAAATAACTAAAATTATATATATATATATATATATATATATATATATATAATATATATATATATATATATATATATATATATATGTGTGTGTGTGTGTGATTTATATTTATAATTAATATATACAAAATTTTAAATTTATAAAATTACACAAATAGTCATTCATGTAATTTTGCAAATAATAGAGACCAATACCATGACACTTTCATTTAAAGTTAGTAAAATGAGATATTTTACAAGCCATTGGGACCAATTATCAAATTTTGTGATAAAAAAATCACCCATTAATCCTAGCTAGATGCTTTGGTAAAGTCGATGTTATACTTTAGAGCATTTTCAACCCACTCTTATTCTACATTTCTTCCCTCATTCTTTTCCAACTCACCTCTATTTATTCCCTCATTTTGGGGGATATGAATAGTATTACACCAAAGTTATGCCAACAAGCGTCGATCGGACCTGGAGTTCCAGGTCGGGGATATGGTGCTCCTGAAAGTGTCGTCTTGGAAGGGCGTTATTCGATTCATGAAGTGGGGAAAGTTGGGCCGCAAGTATATTGGACCCTTCAGGGTTGTAGCCCGGGTGGGCAAGGTGGCATATAGGTTGGATCAGTCAGTCGAACTCAGTCAGATACATAGCACTTTTCACGTCTCCCAGTTACGGAAGTGTCTCGTGGACAATTCGGCAGTGGTGTCATTAGAGGACATTCAGGTTGATGACAGCCTGAATTACATCGAGCGGCTTCTGGCAATCTTCGACCGAAAGACAAAGGATCTGAGGAACAAGAGAGTCGAGTTGGTGAAGGTGCAATGGCAACACCGAAAGGGTTCGGAATGGACGTGGGAGCCGGAGGATGAAATGAAGGAGCATTACCCCAAGATTTTTCAGGACCGAGCAGCAGACTTCCAGGACGAAGTCTATAATAAGTGGGGGAGATTTGTAACACCCGATTCCTGGTACGCATTTTATTGATGTAATTATCACATTTTGGCTTGGAACTCGGCGAGTTGGAGGCCCAACTCGTCGAGTAGAATCGATTTTGGACACGGGGGTTTAGTGACCGACTCGACGAGTAGGAGTTGTCTGGACAAAACCCTAACATTTAGGGTTTGCACCCTATTTAAACAACTTATATTCCCCCATCTCAGCCTCCATCATCCCTTGTACTCCAAGAAAGGCATTGCCTTGAAACCCTAGCCTTGTTTGAGTGTTCTAAGGCCATTGTGTGCATTTTCGTGGTTTGTGAAGCTTGAGAAGAGGAAAGGATCTTGGGAGCTCAAGTTGGAGCTTGGAGATCCAGAGATTTCGTTCCATTTCCATCTCATTTAAGGTAAAAAGCTCCTATCTTGATCTTCCATGTAAATAATCATCTTTAGGGCTTGGATATTGGTATATTAGGGCTTCTAATCCATTTTCGATTTGTGAAGTGTAATATGGGGTTATGACTTAATATTTGGGGCCATTAGGGGTCTTTATGGCATAAAGATGCCAACTTTGTTGCCATAAACACCCCATGCATCTTGTAGACTATCTTTTATGGCTTTTTGAGCCAAAGATCCCATGCATGTGCACCAAGCTTGAGGCTTTACGTGTAAAATGGACATTAGGAGGCCAAATCTATGGTTTTGATGTGTTAAGAAACATTTAAATCGGCTGTATATTAATGGTCAAGGATGGACTCGACGAGTCGTTCTTAGGACTCGGCGAGTCGGGGAGTGATAACCGCCAAATCCTTTCTGTCGATGGGCCAAATGATAGTGTGGAAAGTCCCCCAGTTGTTTAGGCTATTAAGGGACCTGGGAATCATGGTACTCGACAAGTGCTAGAACAGACTCGGCAAATCCAAGGCAATCTCCCAACCCATGGGGACGGACTCGACGAGTTGTTTATACAACTCGGCGAGTCACAGACTAGACACACTCATATGAGGAAGCTGAACTCGACAAGTTCAAGGAAGAACTCGGCGATTCAGTTAAAGATTGTCCTGATGTTATGATTGAAGGAGAACTCGTTGAGTTCTTTCTAGACTCCACGAGTAGAGTCGGGTTGGGAGCAGATAATGGGATGGGGACTCGACGAGTTGGCGGGCCAACTCGGCGAGTCGAGCCAACTGAAGGATGACTTTAACCTTGACTTTGACTTGGGTTTTGGGTTGAATCTTGTAAGGGTTATTGGTATGCATAGTAATCAAGAAAGATCGTTGTGTAGGGATTTAGGAATCGAGATGAGTTGATACCCGTGCCAAGGATTGTGTGGATACTTCACGACAAAGAGGTGAGTTACCTTCCAGTAGAAGTGGGTCTAAGGCACCAAGGCCGACCCACTAGTATGAGTTATAGTTGAGATGATTGTCTTTGTGATAATTGTATGGTATGTGTGATACGTTAATGATTACGTGTTAGTATGCTATTATGCTATGTGTTATATGAAAATAGGGGTTGGATAGACCCCGATATCGGTCGAAAGGACCAAAGGGTTAGATTGTGCCCAGTCATGTTAGTTATCTTATGTTATTTGCTATGATTTTATGTGATAGTAGTATAGGGGTGAAATAGTCCCCGATGACCGGTCAAGAGGACCGAAGGGGTAGGCCAGCACCCAGATATGCTAGGCTAGGTTACCGGTCGAGAGGACCGAATGGGTAGGCCAACACCCTGGTATGCTAGGCATGGTTACTAGTCGAGAGGACTGAAGGGGTAGGTCAGGCACCCAGATATTCCTGGCATTATGTGTTATGTATGGTATGTGGTATGATGGGGGAACTCACTAAGCTTTGTGCTTACGGTTTCAGTTTTGGTTTCAGGTACCTCTTCGTCTAAGGGATGGAGTCCGCAGTGTAACTGCGCATCACACACACTCATATGGATTCCGCATGGAGGTTTCTGGGATTGTACTTTGATTTTTATTACTTTTGATGATATGGTTTTCATACATGTTGTTATGATTTTTATAAATTGATAT